AGGTACGTTTCACCAATAACTCAACATTTTCCATGATTAGATGAAGAAGAGAAGTGTGCCGTGAGGCTGGCTATGACATTTTATAGCTTAGAGACTAATATACTATGAATTACAAAAAAAAGTTTTTCAGAATTATTCGTGATTTAAAAAAAAATGTCATGAATTTCCGTATGCCTTCAAACTCACCTTTTCAATGAAGACTCCACCTTCCCATTTTCCGAACATCTCCGTTACCGAGGCGTCAAATTTCGTTCCCACTGTGACCGATTCTCCTTTGTTCCCCTCTCCTACCTTGCGATTGGTTGCAGCATCCGGTTGTATTTTATCCCTCTAACGTTCACTATTAGGCGTCGCCGTCGGGACGCCTGAAACAATGGCCGGGAGAGATCAATTTATCTTTGGACAATAGACTCGGGCTTCATAAATACGACCGTTTACAGCGTCATTTTCGCTAGACGGTGATTTTCATAGGTTAGGAAATTGGAAGACTAGAAGCGCAATAGTAAAATTGCAATTGTTGAAAAACTAGTTTGATTTTGTTTGGAAAAATTTTGTTTCAATGTTACCTCTACACTAATATCTAGTAACTACAATAATGGGAGTTACTGCTCATACAGTATCATGATTAATTTCCACCCCAGAAGCAACCGGAACAATTTGCTTTTCTACAATTGACTTTCGATTTTCGTAATCAAAAAATGAAACAGCTCAGTATCAGCATTGCTGATTCTGATGAGACACTGAACGAATGTGAGTTCTACACCTGCCAACAGCTTGGAAGTTCAGCTCAATACACCTCCAAACAAACTTTTTAGGAACTGTTTAATTTCGAGAACGGCTTCTTTATGGAAAAACTTTCCGAGACGGATTTTGCAGTGGTTCAAATCCAATATAAATTGCTACGTTCGCTGGGACACCGCTCTTTTTTAAGGATTCTTCTGCTGTGCTTGTGCATTATCATTAAAATTCTTTTTTTCATAAATGTATTTTACTCCGTGTGTGACTAAACTCAAAATCAACTGAGTTTTCAATAATAAGTTGAACAATTTGAGGTAGAGGTGATTGATTGAAACCGTGCCAAAATGGACTAAGGTATCATTTGAATGACTCATCTAGAATATACTACTAATCACTGATACAGATATAGGTTTTATATATCTTTGAAACAACTTGTCTTTATTCGACAAATAATTCACATATCATCTTTACCAGATTCAAAAGCTGACCTGTGGATTTTCACCTAGAGAATTCTACGCAACATGAATATTTTTAGATAATCTCTGTGAAGTAGAAGAATTAGGTATTCCTTCTCTAAATAACTTATATGACATTGATATAAAACGTCTTCGTTGAATATTCGATAAATCCCGATTCATCGATTATAGATCAAAGAAATTATCAATCTCATTATGAATTAAAGTGCCCCGCTGTGTCTGTCTGTCCACCTGCCTGTCTCTTCATTGCCATATACTCAAAAACTCCGATCAGATTTTCATATTTCAGCAATCGTGTGGTTCATGAGGAAGGTTTATATCCATATTTTTTGAAAGTTTTGTGTAAATTGATCAAAATATACGGAAGAGCAAAAGAACCACTTGTTTTTAAAATTTGTTTCTTGGAAATTACCACTTTTAACTCAAAATTTCGACTATAATTTCGTGCGAAGTCTAGTCGGATCGCTATTTTTACATAATCGTAGGATGAGGACAACTCGTATGAAAACCTCGTAAATGTAAGTTAATGTAAACATCACACTGAAATTATTTTTTGTTCGGTGTTTTTGAAAACATCATTACACTAATAACTTCTTCAAAACTATTCAAAATGTCAAACATTTCGTAATTATTTTCAAATTCGAATCGTGTTAGGAATCACATGTTAAAAGGTAAGACCTTGTTAGTCCTTAGCTCGCACAAGTTTCTCAACTTCTGAGAGTTGTCGTTCGTATGGGGGCGATAGCTGAATAACGAAAAAACAGATTTTAAACATATTTTTTATAAGGAATTTATTGACTCCTCCTTTGTTTTATTGACCTATTTATCTAAAATGGTTTCCTTGGTTTCAGAAAAGTAACATAAAAATGATTTGTTGTCCTGAACGTCAAGGAATTCCAAATTCAAATCTATTGGCTCTTCCTTCAACTCATTTGTTTCATAAAAATGCTACGCCAATTTCAGCAGATCGATAAAACTTCCATTGATCAGTATGCCAATAGTGTTGTCGTTAGTTGAAAGGCTCGATTGGAACACATTTTCAATTAGAAATTTGTTGATGAGAGCTTTTCAGTAGTAAAAGCTCGAATAAAAGCGCACTTAGTTGTTGCTAATGGATTTAGTTGTGCTCCTCAATGGTTTCGGAAAGAGGTTCAATTCGATTATATTGCTGGAAACGAATCTTTTGTGTTCAACGCGCGTAGATTTCGGATATAAGCGAATAGTACGAAGGCAAATCGGTTTCATTTGAATGAATTTTCTCTTCGGATATGTTGTCTGAAAGTCCTTGCTAGTACGGTACTATCGAAAGAGAGAGAGGGCAGAAACAAGCTGTATGTATCTGCTTTCAATTCCTTGGGCTCCGGCTAGTCTCCGACATCATCAACTTTTCTTGTACCGTAATTGAAACACTTTCTGTATTCGATTTAGTTTAGTCAACGGTTGTAAACAAGATCATAATGATTGAAAAAAATGAGTTACGAGTCACATAACATTTTCCAGCTTTTTTTCTATAAACATTTTCCTTGAAGACGAATGTGCTTAAAAGAAACCTGTATGTTCTCAATTTATTTGTAACGCATTTCTTGAAACAAAATGTAGGTTCAATTATAAATCTCTTTTTTAGAGAGGTTTCAATGGGAATATACCTATTACCATTGAAGGTATAGTTCAAGTAAACGATATAGGGCATCCTACCTTCCAACAGTTCCCCTTTAATAATATAGTTAGGGAGCTAACTAAAGGACCGCCTGCCCGGTACTGACGATGCCCAATAGGCTGAAACAGCTGTCTACCGGTGGCTCTTAAATTGAAATCAATATGGGAATGATAAAAAAGTACTCATCTATTTATTTTTTGATTTCCATAGAACTATTTTTCAGCAGCTTGACTGCATTAACCTTTCTGGATTTCGTATCATTTCTAGAAACATGTGGATTCGTTTTCCGATGACATTTCAGGTTAGCTTCCCAAATTTCTGCCACCGCAGTTGTCGGTTGATTGGTCAAACCACCAACACTGACATAAAAATTTGGCAAGTTGAGTTGGGTGTCACACCAATATGTTTCGCTTGCGTTTACGCAGCTATTTTTATCAAGTACTTTCTTGGTTTTTCTCATTTTGTCTTCAATCTAAGATCGCCTGCGCGGTACTGACGATGCCCAATAGGCTGAAAGAGCTGTCTACCGGTGGTTCTTAAAACACTTCACTAACTTTCTTCGAAAGCTTCTGATAATTCCTTTTCCATATTCTTTGTTTCACTATCACTGTCGTCATTTAAATCAATCTACATATAGTCTTTTTCAACTAAAATTACTTTTTCAATCCTTTTTTGCCAGTCTTCTTCGGAAATATTAGATACTTCTTCTTCAACTAGCTCTATTACCTTCTTATCAAATTTTGGAAAATTACTTTTACGCCTGATGCTCTGTTTCTCAAGTTTTTTTCCACCTAATTTCAAGGAATTTGGAACTCATCCTTCACTCCCTCCGCAATGCACAATTATTAGTCGCGATTCTTTGTTTGCAGGCATGTTAGACCTACACAATCTCGAACCATCAGTCCACCCTTTCGTAACTGTGTTGTGAGTGTCATACCAAGTTTCGTCCAAATAGAAATTTTGCCGTTGTTCTTGTCTATATTTAGTTATTTGTTACGCAATTCCACTATTTTTCTGCTTTCCACAACTGCTTGACGTTTGTTTATTATTTCGAATCTAAATCCTAGTTTCTTTATCCAATTCTGAAGAGTTTTGTCACAGCAGCTCACGTTATGGCCGGAAGTAACTATTCAATTTCTTCCTTATGATTTCAATTGTAGGAATCTCTTTGCATTTGTAACAGTCGTATATTAATTTTTTCAATGATTTTATTAGATGACCATCTAAAGGTTTTGGTAATCCCGTATCACATCGCGTCTTGCGTTCATAAGGTTTGTTTTTGACTATTTTACGTACAGTAAAAATTTGATGTTGCTTATAATAGTTTGTTTCCCTCGAAATCAAACTTGAGATGTAGATTTACTGCGTTGTTTTCACACTCGTTATTACTACTACTACTAATTATAACTGCACCAATATCGGATTTCAGTACTCAAATCGCGATCAGTTCCTGTACTGAACATGACGAAACAACGGCGATACATATCCCCACATCCTTTTTGTCACCGTAACATGACTTCAAATTTAATTGTATGACTCTTCAGCCAATCATAAAACTCGGTTAGTAAAAATTATCCAATACGAACCGCCAATTCTTCAGTCCACGTGGACTAGTTCGTAGCGATATTATTTCTCTGCATGCGGTTTTTTGGCCTTTGAGATGCTGATAGCTTTAACTATTCACAATAAAGATTACTTCGACTATAACATCGTTACATTGATATTTCGATACATTATCTTCACCAAAAGCCATACAGAAATAATTTTCAAACAACGTTTACAGATATCTTATGAAGTGACACTGAATATCATCGAAAGTTTCCGTGGCAAAGAAACAGATTTCCAATATACCTGAGAATGAAAAGATACAGCAAAAAATAACATTTTCGAATTTCCTTTTCATCAGTAGCAATATTTGACCATCGAATAAATCTACAGAAGTCATTTCTTGTCTAATAAAAGGTAAAACGGGAATCTCTGACACCTTTCCAAGTCACCAGAAATGCGCGTTTCGCCAACCAAATTGGCGTCTTTTATAGACGCGTAAAAAACATGTATGGAAACTATAGAGCCATTTCACTCTCCTATCTATGTGGTCCAGTTTAATTTACCATAAATTTTCATTACAGGTCAAAACGGCGATGATTCATTAGGAAAAAACGGTGCAATAAGCAAAAAACAAAGGAAAGCACGAACCGCGTTCACAGATCTCCAGTTACAAACTTTGGAAAAGAGTTTCGAGAGGCAGAAATACTTAAGTGTGCAAGATAGGATGGAATTGGCCGCCAAACTTAGTTTAACTGACACTCAAGTGAAAACGTGGTACCAAAATAGGAGGTGAGTTCAGATTTATTGACTTACAATTATAACTGAGATGGCATACAATTGAAACTGGTAATTTTGCAAAATAACCTTGTAGCATAGTAAAATTCAACAATACCCAAGACTTAGAACCGTAATCATAATTCAGGTCTCGTAAAATAGGAATGAAAGCTGGTGGAAAATCACTGTCTTTTTAAAATTATTTTTGGCAAACTAAAATCACGAAGTACATGAAAGGATGATTTTATTGAGGACATTGAGAATGAAAAACGGGCATTCAAAAATATATACGAAACAACAAAAGATTCTTCATGCAAGCGTACTTTCCCAATAATGAAACAAAATGTTTATTACGGCCAAAAATCTGTGATGATTTGATTCCAAAATCTCCATCTCCATTTTTGACAAAAGTGAAAGTAATAATATCAAAAACTATCACCCTATATCGATAATCACAATCTGTGAGAAGATATTTTGAATGTTTTTAAAAAATGTATTGCACTTTTTTTTCAAAAAAATATTCACCATTGATACACGCCAAAATAATCGATACTATTGTTGATAAGTTGTCCGTAATACTTGCTCTGTGTGATCTGACCAGAGCACTGTGTTTCACATCAATGTATCATCGAAAAACTTGAATATTATGCAGTCTTACCCAACAAAAATCAGAAGACACCTGAGAAACGGTTGAATACGGAGTTCCACAAGGGTCTGCCCCATACCCCATGTATGTTATATATGTAAACGATCTTTTTTTTTCTCATGCGGTTCCCTTTGCTAATGATAGAACCTTATAGTAGGAATGACCATCATTTATTTGTTATTGAATCAGTCCTGAAAGAAGCTGAAAACTGAGGTTCTATTCTATTCTGAAATTTCCTGCAGTACAATACTTTGGACGAAATTTATGGTAACCAAAACTGTCATTTCTTGACGATATAATTTGTTACAGAAGCGCGCATCAAAAAATAGTATTTTATGAAATGAAATTATATTTTGAACCGTTTCAGAAAAAATCGTGATTATCTCAATTACGGCCCATTCATCATGCATTCACAAACAAGTAATCAAAGGGAGGAGTAGTAACTGATAAGGAGTGATTTACGAGTTGAATACTAATTATTCGGACAATAATTCGAAACCCAATAATGGAGTCAAAGTAATAGCAACTTCGTATGGAAACGTTGGTGATGGATCGAAAATAAGAAAGTTCTTCGGATAATGATGCAGAAGAAATCTTTATTTTATGCAGTAGTTATCCTTAATTTGATTCATTGTAGCCGTATTCGATTATACGCTAATTACCTCTAATTAGACTGATCAATTTTACACGCAAATTGCATTAGATTGATGGGATACAATTGCGAATAACCCGATCCGATACATTTTTTGAGTGCATCTTGAGAGCTCATTAAGGTTTTTTGATCTTTTCTCGATGCAATTGCTGATGACTACCCATAAAGTAAATACTGAATCTGCCATGGCTATAAATAGGGATAACCACTCGTTAATGTTGAATGTATAAATGTAAGTTTTTATCATTTACAAATAATTATTATAACATGTATTTCCAGCATTTACTACCAGTGTTGCTAAATATTCGTTTGTGGTCTAAGTGGAGTCGAAAAAAAAACACACTCGAACCATAATAAAGCCGGCCGAGACAATTTGGTAAAAAAACAACTCCGGCAATAATAACCCTGACTGAAATGATTTGGAAAGTATCTTCAGTTGAAACAACATAACAAAACTTAACTTGCAGTTTCAATAATCGATTATCGAGCAAAACATACACTTTTTATTTACATCAGAGTTGTTTGAACCCGAGTTGTTATTGGCAGAGTTGTTTAAACATCAAAATGTTTTTATACCAAGTTGTTGAGATTTGAGTCACTAGAGACTGAGTTATTTTGACCGGTTACTCTAAGAAGAAGCGAATTGATCCATAAGGTATGAAGAGCGGATTTTCGAGATCTACAGCCTCAATTATGCTGTAATATTAGCGAACCACACCGTGAGGCTTTTGTACCAAATGTTTTCCGAACCGGAGGTCAATGAGAATGCCTAAAATTTCACAGAACTTCAATTTTAAATAATAAATAATTACACAATTCAAATTCAAGACGCGATTTGCTACATGGTAGCTTCATCAGTTGGACTAATGATTTACTATGCAACTATTTACTATTATCAACTTTTGAACTGACCTAATCTATAACCTAACCTAGCCTAACCCATTAAACCTTCAATTCATTTTCTGCATATTCCTGCCTCAAAACTTTCTAATTTCTGGCAATTTAGAAGAACTTGTTGACGCTGATGAAAAGTATAAACCGGGTATAAACCGAGTCAGGCTCGCCCTTTTTGTCTCTCCTGATTTGGTGGTTCATATGGTATGACAATATGAATGGATTGGATCAAAAAAAATTGTGTAGCATTTCAGGTCGGGCAGGAAATTACCACAACTCTGGAATTTCAAATACAATATGCAGTATATTTATATGAATTTGTATTCAGCAGTTTATTTTACACATCTACATCCTCCTACCTATTTTGACGGGAAAGTACTACAAAGTATTTTATATAATGAAAATGAACATATATACACATATACATTCATTCACATATATACACAATAATAATTTTTTTTTATATCGATCCAGTGATGAACATTTGTTCTGGGAGTTTGTTTTAACTATTTTTTAACTATGGATTTGAAGAGAGTAAGGGAGTGTATATCTTTGGGGGTGTAAAATTATATAACTTAGGAGCAATCGAATGTGTGATGTGTGTGATCCACAGTTTTTCTGTTGGTATATCAGTAATGTTACAGCAAAAATTTGTCGTATGTCCATCAGTTCGGCTTCAGTGTATAGATCATCGCTTGGGTATGTAAAGGGTCAATTCAAAATGATCGTACTAATTAACTTCTGGAATGTCTCTAAGTTCTTGAGTTGATATTTAGTGACCCCTCCTCATGCGATAATACCAAACAACAGATGTGTTTTTACTAATGCATGATAGACAACTTTAAGGTGTTACGAGCCAAGGATATTTTTTAAGTATTTGAATTTATATACCAAATATCTCAGTTTTTTGTCAAATTATTTATACGCGTATCATTTGAACCATCAAAATTCCATTCTGATACCATGAAAAACAAAAAAGTTATAGGAGCGAGCCCGAATCGGTCAACACACGCTATATTTGACACGAAATTATTTGAGGATTCTCTAACAAAGAAGTTAATTGTTTTTCAAGTTAACTCCGCAATCAAACAATTTTGCTGTCATCCTTGAGTCCCTGCCTCTGGACCTCAATAAAAATTCCAACGACAAATTGAACACGACAAAAAAGAAAGCGAGGCATGCTAATGTGATTATAATAAATGTATGTGCGACAATGCCATGTAAAATTACTCCTATTAGAACGTATTAGGTATTGTTGATATTCTATAGGGTCGCATTTATCACACTCGAATACACCTTGTAGTACAAGTAATTCTAAATGGTTATTTGTCAACTTGGCGAGATTTATTATGAGAATTGCATTGCGGTTGAACGGGCTACCTCCACTTGAACTAATTCTGATTCTAATATCAGAAACGTTATGTCGTTAGTGGTATTTTAAATTATACACTTAGGAGTCAGTCATCCTTGTGTGCGGTTTGTCAGTAGGAAATTTATTCATTGTAATCTAGAGAAAGATGTCGATCTCATCCATAAAAAAGTGTATATAAATAATTGCGAAATGAAAATTGCATATTAGTGTGAACATGGAAAATTCCAACTATTGATCAAAGTGTGACAGATCAAGTAAGAATTCATAATTAGGATGTTATATTGCACTTTTTTCTGTATAATTTCGAAAATGGATGTATATGATAATAAGTAAACTTTCTTACGAATGAACAAGAATAATAATGGTTTTTGGCCTTCTACTTCTCCATCTTGATACAAAATCTGTGGGAATTTCCCAAACAAAGAAAGAAAATCAATTTTTATGAACATTGAATTATACAAAAAATAAGAAACTTTTCTCTACGCCGTTTGTATTCCAAACATTCGTAATGGAATCGAATCAGATGTCATACACAGGATTGCTACACAATATAATTATTATGAGAATCTCTCCTGAAAATATAACCTTCAATTTTAAATAGTAATAGGTTTTTCTTCAATCTCTATGAGTTTCATTCACATTTTAAGCAGTTATCAGGTATCTTGTAAATAGGAAATGAAGCAGCCTATCACTCAAAACAAAAAATACTACTATAAAAAAGTATATAGCCACAGTGAAAATATATTACAATTCTAATATTTTTGTAATCCTATGAATGTATTCTGACAAATAGAGCTTCATCGATATATTTTTCCATATTGTATATTTCTTCGACCGTTTTAAATGACTGAACTTTCATCGAAAATGAATAATTTTAGGAAGAGAAAAAGCATTTTGTAGCTCACTACTTCTTCACTATTTTAGAAGAGTATGGGAAACTTTCAGAAAAAGAATTGAAAAATTAAAAATATTGAAATAAGATTGAAATTCAACATAGTTCTGAATAGAAAATAGCTTTTTATTCAAATATGCAAATTTTGATATTATTTTTATCAATATTCCATTAGTTAGGTCTCGAAACGACGGGGAGGAAAATAATTTTGAGGATAATATAAAGCACAGACATGTGATGTGAGTTATGACTTAGATTTGAAACATATGATATTATTTATGACCGTATCTACAACTGCCAATATTGATAAAATTGATGTATGCTTCTTCTTGTTTATTCACTTCGTGTATTTTGCATAACAATTTTTTTTGCTAGGTAACAAATATAAACAAAATGTATGATTGTCGTGAGTTAGTTATCACTTAATAACTGAATTATTGTTGAATGAGGGACTGTACTAGAAACTACAAAAAATATTTAATACGAGGCTGAAAAAAATACGAAAATTGTAATAGAGAACTCTATACAAGTGTATAGAGGGCAAATTTGCAGCAAACTT